GGTGAAATTTTTTAGATACATGTATCTTGAGAGGCCAGGCATTAAATAATAAATTCTGTAGTTAAAGAAATTAACTGGGCCGCGGTGGCAACTTCGTGTCAGTCTCCGTTCACGGTGCCTGGTGTGAGGTGGTGCCTCTTGTATAGTTCAGGAGAACGAGCCCCACCGGTATATACATTCCTTAATATTGTGGATTTCGCGGGTTTCATCTAATCTCTTGCTTTATAATTGATGAAGATTCGTTAATCGTTATTAGTGTATGTGGCATCGTACTTTCAATACTGCACGTGCCATACGTAGCGAATTTAAAATCAGCGCTGGACAAATATTTTTCGAATATTCCTAACTTATATTGATCGTTTGTTTCTTGTTACAACAAATTTCTTCATTTAGGACTAAAATTTCCTAAACATTTTAATGCGCCTGGTATTTTCTTTCGTTATTTGTTTTGCACGTTCAGTATCTTTATCCGATCGTCCCATCTGCTCTAATTAAAGCTCACATACCACATGAACAAGAAAAGTTTAGATTTATTATAATTTTAGATCGGTTACTATTTTGAATGTCTACTCGCCTAGTACGATTTCACCGTGTTAATTTATTCTTCTATTTATGCTATTTCTATTTAGGAATTGATCCAAATTTCATCAGGCACAATGTTCGTCTTCTTTGATGTCATTAGTCTCTTAAAGTAGCCTATAGTGCAGCACGCATTTGTTAGCTTAACTCGTCGCCGTTTGGTCTGATCGTAAGCACTAAGTTTACGACCTCCTATATGGGGTTACGAGTTACTAAATTTGTAGTGGTTGCACGGTCCTCGTTTACGGGGTCTTCGGACTTTTTTTCCACGAGTTTATATATTTTAGATCTTATGAAGTCCAGGAAACGCTTGTGATAATTCATCTGTAAATATGAATAACAAGGAAATTACATCCCGATGAATACATACAATTTTCTATCTAATAAATTTACACTCGTTTCTAAACCGATCGAAGAATGCGATTGAAAATGAGATCGACTTGGGTTTTGTTGAGTCATTTCCGTTAGTGAAGTGACGTCACGGAGTCGCGACTTGTTCACGTATGATGATGCATCCAATGAACGCTTTATGTTCTTGACTTATCAAAAATTACTGGAGTTTTAAACACGTGTCAAATAGCTTCAGTGTGCTCACTAATCAATATGGAGAATATTAGAAAGTTTATATTTTTGCATTAAACTGAACTGAATAACGTAATGATAAATTTTATCCAATAAATGGAATTATTGGCAACCGCTTATACGCGAAAGAAAGGACCTTTCGAAAGCTTTATTTCACATAACACTCTACCCCTTTCTCTTTGCTTTTTTTAAATTATGGGGACTGTACAAAAATTATATGGGTGCCAAATCCGCACGTGCTTCTATTGCATGAATTAAATCATTACGATAGCTGCCTGAACTCTCGCGTGCCGTCGTGTTTTTTGAAGGACCTAACCACGATATTAACGGTCCTAGCAGAGGGAGTCATTGTCTCGACTATCTAATGTTAGCATCGCCCGCCGGTCATTTCGTTCGAGTATATCATTTCGGATTCTAACCAAAACTTGGATCCATAAAAATGAAATTTTTGTGCAATTTATGGGAACGCACATTTTGTTTGTTGAGTTTTAAAAGTTTTTCAAATTATCCAGTACACTTAATAATGGGTTACCATATTTTATGAATGAATCTTCATTTATTCGTTATTTGAATAGCTTGGTTGGCGAACAGAAAGATACGAGCGGTGCTATGAGCTTTATACACTGTGCACACATACTGTAATTGGAATGTGGAATAGCGCAAAGGATTAAATATTAGCAAGAGCATGTGTTATAATAACATACGTGAGCGATTGCTTGTGTTATAATAATAGTTATGAGGAAGCGAGCTGTCATTCTAGCTTTGTACTAGCACATGTGTTTACGGGGGCCACGGCGTTCTAGGGCGCCGTTTGTTGTTACGTTGCTGCTGCTGCTGCTCTCTTGGCGCTCTGCTGCAGTGACACCTGTTGGGCGCCGCCGGTGCTCCATCGCTTCCGGTCTGTCCTGTGCTGTGCCTGCTCCGCTTCTTGTTACTGGCGATTGGCGCGTCTGCGTCTCCGTTTCTTCCTTACTCTTTTCTTTCTTGTTGTTATTTTTTACTCTTTTGCTGCTAGACATTTGTGCTATCGCTCATCTACTGATTTTTTTATACTTCTAATGCTTAGAATTCCTCTTTGTATTAATTTGCTTTGGTGATAGTATGGTAAGCGCATATGCATTGTTGCTACTATGATACGATGGTACGATGATAGGTACAAAGGAATGGTGACCACGAGTCGCCACATGTGCAGCGGCCATCGCTCAGCCCTTCTCAGTCCTTGGCTTTGATCTGAGAGAAGAATTTTTGTTGAGCATATGACTACCTCGTGATAGATCACTCCGCCGTAGTGATGTAGACGTCAAACAAGTTCACAAACACCACTGAAGCTCTTTTCCTTTGGTCAAAAGTATTTCTATTTCGAGATCCATTGTTAGCTGCCGTCTATAGGCATTGATTCGTAAGCAGTTCAGGAATAAAGTACACATCGCAGTACACAGCGGAATTTTTAGGGTGGTTTATGATGTTTTTTACCTACCTACGCGTATATTCAGCACAACCCTCGAGCCTCGCCTAGTCTTGCAGTGAGACCTTATTTGACTTGTCATGCAAGACTGCGCTCGTATTATTCACGTGTTCTCCTATCCACTTTCTGTAATTCAAAAGGCAATGGGTCTCTTCGGCTGCGGTGGCTGAACCTGCATTCCTAGCAAAGCTTCGACCAGAAATATGCCGTAGTTTCAATGGAACGTGTGAAATTCCGTGAGCCTTGCCTAAATTTTTATTTAATAAAGGATGCCGTTATTCGCCATTGTTTCTTGTCAGTATACGTACAGGTTCACGCTGCCAACTTGAGCCTGTTTAGACAGCCGGGCCCAACCTTGCACGCGTCACGTGAGCCCTTATTTTCTTTTTAGCTGCTGTGCTCCGTTGCTAGTTTCTTTAGCCGGCAGCGCGCGCTTGGTGGGGGTCGGGGGTTTAAATACCGGGTCGTGTTTCGCTAAACCTGACGCACATGGTGCCTTGTCTCTTCTGTACCGTCAACGGATCGTTCGTTGCTAGTAGCAGCACTGCATGTCAGCGTCACACACCGTGGGATTTTTGTCGATACTCTGAGCTATTTAACACTTGTCGGATTGTATAGGTACAACTGTCACTACACTCGGTACGACTGTAACTTTAAAAATTTAGTCAGTCTGGCAAGGTTTATGCTTCTTGAACCGGACACTTGTTACACTGATCATGCAGTAATCCTTCAGTGGTTGAAGTCAGCGTTGTCGGCCGAATCACTTTCTGGGTGAACCAGGATATTCTGTTATGCGAAGTGTACATTTTTACTCTGACTGCTCCATTAACATGACCTCGCTCCATAACTTACTTGGATGAGTTGCGCATGCGCGTTTTTTTATTATCGCCGGCGCGCATTTTTGTCGTGCTTTGCTCTTTATACATTACTAGAGCGAGCATTTGTGCGTGCATCAGTTAATTCTTGGTTTATTATTCATATAGTTTTATTCATTCCCTTCCTTTGATGGTTGTGATTGATGGCAGCCTGTTGAATTTGTTTGTGATATTTTATAATTCTTTCCATCAAGTTTTCCCCTATCTATTCGCTAATGTGTTCATCGAGCATTTTTCGCATTTCCAATCAAAAATTATTTTTTATTTGTTTACTTGCTGCATGACGGAAGTTCTTGAATGTGGAAATGAATTTCTCCTTGTATTTCACAGTAGAAGTGTATACTCAGCTGTTACCTATACCACATATGGTATCACGGCCGTGACTGCAGAGTTTGGTGATGCGTTGGTTCTTGTACTTGGTGGCGCTAGAAGGCTTCGGTCAAGTAGAAGCTATCGGAACTTGTTCGTGCGAGTGCGAGTATCTGATGTAAAGTGACGGACTCTCACTATACCACAATGGTCCCTCTGTGCTGCTCTCGATATTGCTGGTCCTACTGCTGCGGTTATTGCTACGGCTGCTGCTCTTCTTACTGCTGCGATCATTGCTGATGTTGCTACGGCTGCTGCCATTGCTGATTAGATTGTTACGGCTGCTACCCTTCTTACTGCTGCGATCATTGCTGATGTTGCTACGGCTGCGGCCATTGCTGATTCAATTGTTACGGTTGCTGCTATTCCTATTGCTGCAGTTATTGCCGGTTGCAGTGGTTACTGTTGCAGCAATGTTGTTGCTGATGTTGATGTGACTGTTAGTGTTCCTGCTTATGTGAAAATGGATTTTGCGGCTACTGCTTTTGGACTGCTGGAGTTTTACTGCTACTGCTGCTGCTACGGTTGCTGATTTTTCCATTACATGGATTAGTTTTCATGCTGCGTACCATTCATTAATTGCTATCGTGGCTGCTCTAGTTGTTGCTTGCTCGTGTTCATGATGTAGTTATTGTTGTCTGTTTCGCTGAGAGTCTTGCCGCTGTCACGATCACTGCTTTTATTGCCACGTACTCTCAGTCTTTGTTTGTGTGTTGATGGAGACGCAGACTTTTATAGAGTAGACATGATTTAATGTTCTAGATGCGAGTGCGTAAACGTTGTAATAGCATACAAATGTTACAGTTCTATACCGACAGTAGGTATGAATCAAGTGCGCTTTAAACAGATATTTATTTCGGTTTGTTTTTCTCTTTTTATGCAGTTGAATATAAATAAGCGATTACATTATTCATTACGATAAATTAATTTTTAAGTGAAGTTTCCACATGATGGCGCTAAGTGACCCGCTTGCTCGCTCACTATATCATGTTTGTTTATGTGATCTGCAACCTTGATCCATTCCGCGGAGTTTATGAGCATAAATCAAGGATTATATTAGAAAGCACTTGAGGACCTTGGGATGGGCTGCTGCTGTTACCATCTGCGCATCTTACGATACTCCGACCACGATGTTCACTGCTGTCGAGATCTCGCGTCTAAGTGTTACGTGAGTCTAAGCGTTTGCCGCCAATTATATTTGTTGTGGAGCCCAAATATTCCGAGTTTTTCACTTTGCAAGACTAGTAGATAATTTTAAATTTCACACTGAAAACTGCGTTTCAGAAGAATGCGACTATAAATTGGAAATATGAGACTTCAGCTGCAAATCAGCTATTGCCCAAATTTCATTGTTTGATTTTTACTCTGGGACACAATTGACTGTTTAATTCAGTTCTATGATTAATACGTACTTCATGTGACCCCTCTCATTCTCTCAGTCACTGCCAATTCAATGTCATTGCGGGCCACATGACGACAATGTTTATATCCTTCATGCACACTCACTCCTGCGTTGTTATCACATCATGTGCTGCAGACAGGACAGTGGTCCCTAAATTAATTTAGCAATTTATTTAATTAATATTATTTCTTAACCCTTCATTATTGACGTTTTGCGTTGGGGATAAGAATAGCGATGAATACAACGAGGTATCATATTGGATTGAGCGGTACGAATTCGTTTAAATTTATTTATCTAAATGTGGTTCTTAATGAACTGTCTATGTCTATACGTTCTTCGCTAACGCAGCAAAAGAAAAGACGAAGAAATTGAACTCGTGCGTCGAGCACTGTTTTACTTTGATGCCGCAACTTGACCTTCTCTAGTCGTATGTTGAAGGCGTGGGTTGAGGTTAAACTTTATCCGAATAAACTGTAATAGGTACGTTTATAACATTATTACATACCGACAAGTTTATAACAGCTTTGGAATTCGTCTAAATTCAGCTTATAAACCGGAAATAGTTTTTGTAATATTTGTGGAAGAATCTTACTTTGTGAGGTGTAATGTTTGGTCCTTCCCGAAAGTGACTATTTTATGACATAAGATACATCTAGTAGATAAATTTTCGTGACTACATCCTGCTTGTGCTACTCGTACCGTGAGTGTAATGCGTACAATAAATATCACATAGCGAGACCATGTTAACTATAACATGTTGTGTGAAATGTAACATGTTATGTGAACTGTAACACGTGATGTAAACTAACATGTTCTAAGAAGTGTCTTCTACCACAGAGCGGGCTGTGCTTATCCAACGATGGACTGCACTCCTCCACTAGCGAGTTCGTGCGAAGTGGAAGCGTTCGCGCGAGCCACCACAGCGCTGGTGGAAGTCCTTCCCTAGCCGGTGGGGAGGGTGGAGCAACATCCCTCAGAGGGAGCGCCCTCGACGACGGTGGATCAAGGTTCCCCAGACTGGACCAGTGCGCCCACTTTCACTACGAGTACGTCGAGCTTCCCCCTATATCGGTGAGTGAAGAATAAGGACTTGAAGTAAATTAATATACAAAATATTACTAAAAGTTATTTCAGTGACAACTTTTCTTGAAAGAAACTCATTCTGTTCCAAAATTAAGTCACAAGTCCACGCAATTGAATTACCAGGAACGGTTTTGTAACCTTTAAAGGTCTAACTAACACTATGTACCTTTTCTAATTTTTTTTCTGCTGCATTTGAAAAACGGTCTCGTAAATGTTCGTTTCGCATCACATATTAGATAGAATCATTCAAGATTATCAATTCCGTCAAATTTAATGCATTTGTCATCTCTGTTATCCGAAATTGAACGAACCATCACCACAGTTGTGGCAAAAAATCTTCAAAAAATTTGATTATATTCCGTTGTCATTTTAAATTTACGAATGAAAAACATTCGGCGGAAAAAATGTTGGACGGTTCCCGGAAGAGCAAGACAGCGTCCGCAAGATTTGCAGGTTCGGCTGCCACCTTGATTTTCGCGCTTTCGTGATTTTCGCTGGGAAAAAATGTATAAAATCTCTTCGAGAGAAATACCTCACCGAGATATGAACACATTTCCACTTTTTCACTTGGTGTCGGTGATGTTTCTAATCCATTTAATCTAGTTCACCGTCGGCGAGATTTATATTGAATTTCTTTACCTTTTCACCTGTTGACACGGAAATTTCGTTTTTTCTGTTTCATTTCTTTTCGCTATTCGTTTAGGTCTATCCCATGATGTGTAGGTATACTTATTTGGCCTCTTTTTCAGTTCGTTTCTTGAGGTTATAATTGTTTTGTCTTCCTGACAGTGAATTTTCCTAAAACTTTCAATTTGTTTTGTCCTCAGCTGCTTCCGTCTTTTTGTTTTTCCGAGCTTTTGTGTGTTTTATTTTCAGTGTCGAATCCTCTTTATCGTAGTGTTTGCTAGCCCACAATTCGTCCATAAATTGTTTGACGCAACTATTTTTTATTTTCTTCCTACTGGCTTTCCTGCATTGTCTTTTGTGTCCTTCAAATACTTTTTGCTCGGACCACATTCTATTCAATCTCTGTCCACTTCACCAAAATTTGAAATTCCCACTGCTTCTTATTTTTTTATATTTCAACATTCGTTTCTCCTCATCCTGTCATTTCAAGTCAATGTACTTCTGCCATTCTAATAAGTTAAATTCTGGAAAAAATGTTCACATTTTCTATTCTTGGTTAGCTTCTTGCTCTAAGTCTTCTAAGAGCATATTAGGTGGCAGGAAGGACGTGACTTAAATGATTGAATTCTGTGAACTTGTCTCGTGCTAATCTCGTTAAATCACTAACCTTGTAATCGAAGTCCCAGGTTCTATTTTAATGGTCTTTTTGATGATTAAATATCCTTTATTATCCATTAGCGCAACACAATGAACACTCACTGTGGAGCTAGTACGGGATGTTATATGAGCGATACGACGGTTTAGTCTTCCAGTTGCTCTGGATATTACCTTTAATGTTCGACCTTTGATGCTCTCTATCTCTCCGTGCATTCACCGATGCCTTTCAACGCAGAACTTCAAGCTTTCGCATTTTACCAAATGTTATTAATTTTGTAAGTGCTCGATTCTAAAACTATTAGGTAGAAAGAATGTTTGGTCATTATGCCATTCCAATATCTGAGACCTCTCTTGCATTTTTTAAAATGTAATCTCAAATATTTTCTAGGCTGTTATTAACAATTATCGGTAAAATTTTAACTGTTGATGGCCTCTTCACCTTCTTTCAAACTAAGTATAAAAAAGAGTTAGTAGAATGTTAGTCCAAATGAATGTGTACAACTGAGGCTTGCGTAAGAACTATAAAACCATTCTGGTTCGAACATACTATCGTTGATAAATAACACTCGAGATGAATTTCATAGTTTCTCCATCCATTCTATAACGATAATTACAAAACGCCGTTCATGATGTAGCAGACAGAATTTCATCTAGAAACAAATTTACATCCCTGGTCTACACGTAAGACTGAGTACGTATCGAGGTTGAGGTCTCTAACTAGCTAATCATTTGCAGGTTTGCCTGGTGTCGGAAGATCTCAAGCCCCTGCCGAGGAGTACGTCGATCCGTTCGTCGTCTATAGACAGCAGAAGGGCTTCAGATCAGGACTCGCGATCTTCCTATGGGGACGGAATCATTGGCAGCCTTGCAGCGGAATGCGAAAATTATATTGACGCAGCTGTCGGCAGCGAAGATATTGCGGACGAGGTCGTTTTAGATCCCGAGAACAAGGAGAACACAGATCTTGGGGGTAAAATTGACCCTTCACTCGCCTGTAAACCTCCCCGGCCAGGCGTCGGTAAAACATGCGTTGTTGATGTTCACAAAGATGCATCTGCGTTTCCTTCAGACGTTTCCCGAAATTCTAAACCTGACAACGCCGTCTCATCCACAGGGATATCCTCCCTGTGCTCGTTTGCGGCATCCAAAACGCAAAGCACTTCGACAAAAAATCTTACCAAGACTTCTAATGAAATTCTCAACACTTGCGCTGAAGACTCCGAGAGCAAGAGCTTCTTGGTGCAAGTGACGTCTTTGGAGCGGTCGTGGGTGGTGAGAAGAACCTATGAAAATTTCCGTTTCCTTGACCGGCAGTTGCATCGCTGCTGCTACGACAGGAAAGTCTCGAAGCTCTCAGAACTCCCGCCGGAAGATCAGATGTCTGGGCCTGATAAAGAGGTGTGTGTTGGACGGTTCTTATTGATACGGTTTGTGTATAATTAAAATAGTGATACTAAATCATGAGCGCTTCATTTTAACTCGTTCATATGGCTTACCTATATTTACTCCCTCTGTTATTTTCTTAATATTTTACGGTTTATCTTGCGCCTAACTCGCACTACAGTTTCTATATCTCCTGCTCAGAGCAGACCCTCTGTTAGAGCAGATTTTGTTTTCAGACCTTCATATATATTCGTTAAAAATTTCCATCATTATGTACCATGTTCGTAATTCTTGCTGCAGACACGTCGTACCTTGCTCCCCTCAGTTGACTTTGGCTGTCCACTGGGTGGCAGTCTGCGCTACAGTGCCTACCGTAAAATGTGGTTACTTTGACCGGCGGGGTAACTTTGACCACTTTTGGTTTTTTCGACAAAAACCCCCAAAACTCAAAAACGATTCGACATAGAAAAATCTTGTCAATGGCCATCAAAGGCCTAATACTGAGGCTACGTAACACAATAGAAAGATTTAAAAAGTTTGCATATCTAATAGGTTAAAAAATTAAAAATGTGACCCACAAAAAAGAGCTATTATTTAAAGCCTGTCAGAGTACCCCCTCCAATTTTTTTATTTTTTGGTAAAATAACTCCAGGTTTTGATGCATTGTAGTAAAACTCTTCTAGTTACATATGCAAAAGACAAATTTTAGAAAAGTGTCATAGTTTGCAAAAGGGGGCGCTGCCCCCCAATGGGGTAACTTTGACCACCTAATGGCAGCCGTGACGGGGTAACATTGACCGGCTTGGAAATTAAGTTAAAATTACCATAGGTACCTATATAACATATTTTATGTTTGATATACCTATTAATGTTTTTTTCTTTATGTTTCAGACTCTACAGAGTCTTATATATGGTAATTTTAACTTAATTTCCAAACTGGTCTATGTTACCCCATCACAGCTACCATTAGGTGGTCACATTTTGCCCATTTGGGGGCTGCGCCCCCATTTGCAAACTATGACACTTTCCTAAAATCTGTCTTTTGTATATGTAACTAGAAGAGTTCTACTACAATGCACCACAACCTGGAGTTATTTGAAGTTATTTTACTAAAAAATAAAATTGATTTTACCACCCGGTCAAAGAAACCCCAAGAGCTGGGGTAACAAAGACCATCACTTTTTTTAAATTACATCAAAACTATGAGAGGCAGGAGCCAGCAATTTATGGTGAGTAAAGCTAGAGTATAGACCTGTATTTTGCTTGTTTCAATTTAAGTTTAACTTATCTAGTAAAAAATGGCATCATTTTGAAAAAAAAGTGGTCAAAGTTACCCCATTTTACGGTACTATCCTTACGTTTAGGCGACGCTGAATTCCTATCTATCCCCAGATGCTGACAACGCTGTAGTGTTCCAATGAACATTTCCTCCCTAAAACCAACGCCGCAGTGTTCCTTGTATTTGTTCCAAATACCTTCCCTCCCCAAAACCGACGCTGCAGTGTTACTTGTATTCATTTCACCGTACCTTGCCTCCCTAAAACCGACGCTTCAGTGTTCCTTGTATTTATTCAAACGTACCTTTCCTCCCCAAAACCGACGCTGCAGTGTTACTTGTATTTATTTCACCGTACCTTGCCTCCCTAAAATCGATGCAGCAGTGTTCCTTGTATTTGTTCCAACGTACCTTGCCTCCCTAAAACTGACGCTGCAGTGTTCCTTGTATTTGTTCCAACGTACCTTTCCTCCCTAAAACTGACGCTGCAGTGTTCCTTGTATTTATTTCAACGTACCTTGCCTCCCTAAAACTGACGCTGCAGTGTTCCTTGTATTTGTTCCAACGTACCTTTCCCACCTTAAACTGACGCTGCAGTGTTACGTTGTTTTAGTTTTTACAAATTTTTTCCCTCGTGAACCGACGCTAATTTCCCCCTTGTCACCTGTCTGCAGGCGACGCTGCAGTGCGTGTTGTCCTCGTATCTCGCTGGGCTGAGTCGCATCGCGGGACCGCTGATCACATGCGGCCCCGTGCTGGGGTGGCTGGAGCTCGACAACAGAGGACATCGTCTTATCGTCACCGATGACTCGGACATCAACACGCCCGCCGTTGCCGCCGCCTACGTCGTCAAGCGATACCTGGCACAGGCTTCTGATGAAATCACCTTCGAGGTCAGTCATCGTGCTTTTGACTCTCGAAGTTGCATACATGTGATTAATGCGTCTTGGGAATTATTTCGCCTCTTGTGCGACCACAGTAGAAAACGGACGTTATTCAATGTCATTTTCCCGATACTTTTAATCATTTCTATTCCAATCTAATTTTTTAGCTTCAGATAATTTTTGCAACTGTCTGTTTACTGGATCAATGTATTTTTCTGTTTATAAATGTCTAGTCTGATAAGATTCTAAGACTAATTGATGCTCTCGTCGAGCAGCTCTCACGTAAGCAATTCGCTCGCACTTTCAAACGGAATGTTCGCCTCTGATAACACAGTCTGGATTATTGCCTGATCGTGTTTCTTGGCTTAAATTTAGGTTGGAATTTGCCCCTAAGGCATAAGTTTAAGGTTTAATGTTCTCACATTATTTCCACACATTTCCCCGAGGTATTTCATATCATTGTTTACTGCACATGCTTCCAAATTATTGCGTCATTTCCCACTGCCCTACAATCAAGCCTTTAATTGTACATGATCTGGAAGCGATCCTTTCCTTTTCATCTTTTGCTTGTTTTACGGTCCAAAAAAGTCCGATGCTCATAAAAATCACGTTCACTGAACTCACAAAATCAGCTACGAAGCTAAATACAATATGCTTTGAATATATTTTCAATTATATTAGTCGGTTTTCGTCTGAATATTGTCTGACCTTTTTCATTGCTAAATTTAATTATCACCTCTAACTTGTGACGGCCCATGAAGGAAAAATAGAAGATATCGACCTTAATGAACGTGCTGCGAGACCGTCTATGCTCGAGTTCATGCCTATTTGTGTCCTATGACTGGAAGTCCGTCGAATCTAATGGCTCATTGTAAGTTAACTGCTAACTGATCGTTATTGTGAGCAATCATTTCACCTTGGAATCGCTCCTAAGATGCGCCGAACTCGCATTCGATGGGCGCATTTCGCTGTCGTCAGTAAACGCGCTCCGGAAGTTGATCCTGATTTCCTTTATCGTCTCTTGGTCAATAATCGATTGTGCCAGGCAACGGTTCACGCCATAGCTCCAACGGTGTTGTGTATAATGAATGCCCGTCATTAAATACCTCATTATTTATGACGGTCGTTATCTCGGTGTCTGTCCATGCATTCGTAATTGTGGTCACTACTTGAAGCTCACTACGCTGGTGATATGAATAATTCATATTCTGGATGACGAAGTGGGAAAACTGAACTGCTCAACTGCTATGTTTTGCATTGGTATGACGAAAAACCTAACACCCTACAGCTAGTCAACACTGACCGCCACCGGTTTTACTGACCAATAAGCCTAATCAAGCTTTTGCGAGTCGTGTTGAGCGATTCTTACGTGAAGAAACGTGTTTGATTTTTGTGGATGCCGCTCGTTAGTGGCTTCTGAAGCCTACTATAACCCTTCTACTCGAGGTCCCCTGCACGATAGGTAATGTCGGCTAGTTATTAGCCAAATTGAATGGCTGCCGTAGGTCGCCTCGTGTCAACGCTCATTATCATTATTATAATGGTTCCTTGGTCACCGACAAGGCTACAAAAGCGCCAGGGAGAGAAATCGGTGTAGAAATCTCAACTTGAAAGATTTGCCTTACTCAGATCTTGCCTAACTAAATCCATTATAAAAAAACAGAAGTTGATTACAATAGTTCTAATATAAAAGTATGCTAAACGGTCTTTCAATATTCGTTTGCATAAATCGACCCTGAGAACATCGATGTTTATCGCTAGTGTTGTGACCGGCATTTCGGCCACGCGGTCATGCACGCTCAGTCCTAACCAGGCAGCAGGCACTGGGTTTGCGTGGAGCTAAACGTGTTGTGTGGGGCGGGAGTGTTAGGTACCCAGTCGTCTAAAATTGTTGACCAGTTGTCCGTTTTTTGTATATCTGTAAAGTTACTTACATTTGGAGGTTTTAAACTTCATTATTATTACTTTTGAACTTCATTTTTATTACTTGTAAACTTCATTATTTTTAATAAAATTTGAAGTTCATTGTTTAATTCGTGCAGCCTCACGTGTGTCGTTGAAAATTGTTCACCAGTTGTCCGTATTTCGTATATTATCTGGTATGCTCCTTACAGGAGGTTTTGAAGTTTATTAGCCTTAGTCAGTTTGTAATTGAAAGTTGTCCAGTGTAACTGACAGCTCAGATATATCTGGATAATATTTAAAGTAAATTGGAAAGTAGAATAAGTTTAACGAAATGATCATACCTCGGGCCCGGCTGATGCTGATCGAGGTACTATTTTTACCTATTTTTAATTTTGATTTTAATATTTTTAGAAAAGTGAATTTAGCTGAAACGCACATTATTTTATCTCAGAATTTAGAAAAAATAATGCCATTTTATGTAAATTCACTATGTATTTTTAATTTAGATATCAATATTTTTAACACGTAAAATTAGCAAATACGCACTTTATTTTACCTCAAAATTTAGAGAAAATAATGCCCTTTTAAGTAAATTGAGTATGTAGTTATTTTTTATTGTGACACTTAGCCGTTGCGCTCCTATATGGATACATTTGTGAAACAACTTATATGCTAATTTTATAGTAACATTAAAGAACTTCAAATTTATTTTGTACATCTTTAAGACTATTGAAAGTTTGAATTAAACCAGCATTACGCAACTTTAATTGAAGAATGGCAGCAGAACTTCTGTGGTGCCTTGTACGTTACGTACTTAGTGCGATCCTTGAGCTGGTTAGGATTCTTCATTCATTTTTATATCAGCTTGTAAGGGGTAGACTAGCTTGCGATGAATTAAATCAAGTCATACATTCATTCTAACTCACGCCCACTCCTAAATTCATTGAATACGAAATTTTTCTACTGCCAGAGTGGGCATACAGGTTCAACAACCATTATTTATCTGATTTCTACCTATATTCGTGGTGCGAATAAATAATTTTATAGTCAACAAATATTCTTTGTTTTACGTTGAAAGTCAGTCTCGCGGAGCTCCTTTCATCCGTAAAGCTGAGAAATTGAAAATTCGGTGGACAGTTTGCTCAGCTCCCATGTCCCTCACAGTGATGACAGACAAGAGTTTTCTTTACTATTATCATTATTGTATCAATGGGTATTTTTTTCTGATAATCTCCCACTTCTGGATTGCAGACAAACTTGTGCGACAAAAAAAAAATGAATCGCGATTAATCGTATTGCGTCGGTAAATTTTCTAGTGGGTTTTTCACATAGTGAAGGGTAAAATATTAACAAAATCTTCTAAATTTATTTCTGGTTGCGACCTGGCAACGCTGTGCTGCGGTGTGTGCGGATTGCGGAAAGTCATTCAGTCAGAGTCTCAGTCTCTCAGAACAGAGTCAGTATCTCTACCGCCTCCGCAGGGTAAGGTTGTGCGTCGCTCGGTCACACGAGTTACAGGGTTTCCGTTCTCTATAGTTCATCCTACGCGGCGCCTCCGTGACCACTCAGATATCGAACCCGCTTGTGCTTGTCTGCTACTGCGAATTTATCGTTAGCGTGTCACTTCATTGAACATTGTGAGGAAAGGCATCGTGTAACACGTGGTGTAGCGGTCATCATTTTGTCGTGTGCTGAAAATATGTCGTGTTCTTTCTTAGGAACGAAAATTCCCGAACGAAATTTCAGTCTGGATTTCTTGTGTACGGAGCACACTCCTCGTGTAAGTGTATCTTCTAAGGAAAGTAGTATTGAATTTTTCTTGTAACATTCTAGCGTTGGAAAGGCTGCAGTTACGTTTGTTCTTCGACAAAAGTTATCATTCCATGCTTCAAATTTCTCGATCACGCGATCGTCTTGAAAATTGCCACACTAGTAGAGTGTGAGTGAAATTCAGATCTCACTCCGCATATTATTGAACCTAAAACTTCAAACACATGGACATAACCAAACCGAATGTGTGCCAGTCAAGGCAGAGAAAATCAACAAGGTCTGTCTTCTGTTGTGCACTGCGCAGTGGATTGTAATGTAGTTTCAATGTTTAATGTGGTAACACAACTGTTTACTATTTTTCCTCTTTTCCTGACCTATGAAGTGATGGTATTTTCGAGTGTCGTGCAAATGCTGGTGTGATTCTAGCGCTACACAAACACAGCATTTCACTCACGGGCAGTTTTGCGGCGAGTGAAAGCGCCAGTCCTTGGAATATTGCGCTCCTGCTCACCGCATTTCATGCAGTGTACATCGCCATTATTAATTATTTTTCTGGAATAGTAAAACTCAATTGATAACAAAGCTCTGTAAGTTGGAGTTTGTTTTGTATCTCATTGAACTTCCATAAATTTACCGACGCTCGATTAACGTTCTTTGATCTCGTTTATTCACATAGGAGTGTTTCAGATGTTTGCTCTGGAAATTAGTTCAGAAATTAATACTGAGTTCTGAAGCATGTGTCCTATTCTGTAACTTAACGGTTCAATAACCTCAATCTTCCTTCGTACTTTTAATTAAGTGTAAATTTCCAGTCAATTTACCTAATTCTACTTGATTATAAATTATTTTACAGTTTTCATCACTGAGATTTTTTTATTTATTTTTTTATTGACCCACTCTAGAGCGGCTTTAGAGCTTTTCAGTGTTTCCCCCCCCCTTGTTTTTCATAGTACCTATAGAGGAACGTCGCTTCTCCTTTCATGCTCCCCCAGTCGGCTGCTCAAAGACAACTCCATGTGTCGCGGCGTGGGCTTCCCATGCTATGTATAGAATGTTCTTAGCTCGCTACTTGAGTGCAAACATTTTAATTCCTTAATGCCGGGTAGCGCACATTCATTAATGCACGAAGATCTTTTACACGTTACAAAAAATAAATACTTGAATTTAACCATAAATTACCGGAATTTTCTCAAAAGATTGTAAATCCATGTATGACATGTACCACGCACCACTGTGTGTTTGACAGGTTCTCAAATACAACGTTTTCTGGATATTGAGTTAGTTTTGTCATTGTTTTGTTGATACCTATTGCAGAAAAGGTCTACTTTTCCGTT